AAAAGAGTTGTATTAGAGTAAAAGGTTGTAGAGTTGTAAAGTAGAGGGGGAAATGTTGTTTGTAGAGCAAAAAAGCAAAAGAAAAAGAATTTTCTTTTTTACGTTAGAAATTAATCGTTAAAGCAAATATGAAAAAAAAAGATTATTTTTTTTTTTTTTTGAAACGTAGTAAAACGTTCAAAAATATTGTAAGGAAGGTAATTTTAATTTTTAAAAATCAAAATATTTAATATATTTGCAATTAGACGCTCAAAAATAATAATTATGAAGAGTTGTTTGATTGTATAGAAAAAAAGATTTATTGGTATGGGAACGAGGAAACATTCTCAAGGCGAAATTTGAACCTTTTTATATCTTAAATTCCAAGCTAAAAAAAAAAAAAAAAAGAGTTTCAAATCAAGGAATACAAATGTGTACCCACAAGGTCCAAAATTCCGCGATCCCGTTTTTTCAATGACTTTAGATGTTTGCCCCGTAAGATACGCGATTCCTCGCACGAGAACATTTTTTAATTGATTGCATGATTAAGGTTGTAGATCCATGAATTACACAAAGAAACTCAAAAATCGAGTAATTTTAGTAATGAACGAGCTAAACCTTTTTACGTGCAATAATTCTCCCGAATGAGTCATTAACCGCTCAATCATGTGTATCTCCAATTTTTTCCAAAGTAAACAAGAAAAAAAAAAAATTGTAATACAAACAAAGATAAACAAGATATGATATTTTTAGTTTCATGCTATGTGGGTGATACACGACTAATAAGATATTTTAGTATAAATCTCATGATTTCATTGATATGTAATGTTAAGGAAATTTGTAAATGACGAATTTTTAAAATTAAACTTCATCACATTGTTTGACAAGCATACATAATAGTATTAAAATTAACCTTATTTTATAATTTACGCGGGAAAATAAAAATATGTTTGGGAGAATGGGTGGGTAACGTTTTACCTTTTTTTTTTTTCCAAAACATTAGTAATGTTTAACACGAAAAAATTTTTTAATCTCATCTCATGATATATGTGATTGACATTCATAGGTCACAAAGACATCATAAACAAATAGTTATCATTTTTTAATTAATCTCCCATTTTTTTTTTTTTTTGTAAGAGCAGCATTTTTAATTAATTACATGAAAATGATGATACAAGGACTAATGATCGTTGTCATGTGTATGCTAAGCGGAATGTATTTGATGTAATGTAATGGAAATTTACGGAGTAGTTTCGAGATATGAGTCATTGAGAAAGGAGGTGATAATTTTTTGAGGGATAAAAAAAAAAATTTTTTTTTTCCTTTTTTTCTAATTAAAGGATAATTACCTTGACTTTTTTTTGCCTTGTGATGAAGGAGTGAGCAAATTTAGCTGGTTTCTGTGTTGCAAATCCTAATTAAGGGATAGTTACCTTGTTTATGTTTTTTTTTTTTTCTTTTTTTTTTTTTTTTTCAAGTTTTCTTTGTTTTGCAGATCTAGCTTAACTTAATTTAATTGAAATTGACGTTTTTAACATTTTTTTCCGATAATCTTGTACAGTTGTAATGTGACCTCGGGGAAATGCCTTTTGATGAATTACCTGATTTATGACTAATTTCAGAATGGCACTTCATATTGACGGATTTAAAACGTGTTTCGAACGAAGCATGAATTAATGAAAAGGAAAATTAATGTCGTACGATAACACTTTCGACAATTCATATGATCATGTGTAATTCCAGAAGAAGAAAAAAAAAAAAAAACCTGAAAAAATTTTTTTTTTTTTTTTTAAGCTTTTTGCATGGTTTCTCACACGCTATTCTATTTCAACCACCCATTTCTTTTTATGTATGCCCCAACCGAAAAAAAAAAAAAAAAGATGAACGATCTGATAAAAATCAACGATAATCAAAAAAAAATTTTGAACAAAGTATTTTCACGTTTGGATTGTTCAATCTTTTATGGGATAGACATTTAAACATTTAACTTGAATGTGTAGACAAATTCAAAAAGTATCTCATCAATAGGAACTAAAAAATAATACAATTTTGTATTACAAAAAAAAAAAGAGTTGGAATCATACCTGATTGAAAAGAGTTTTTTTTAGCAATGGCTGCAATAACGCGCATGAACACGAGTCAAAAAAAATTAATTGCTAGTTTGAGAAAAAAAAACGCGATAAATATTATCAAAAAAAAAAAATTTCCAGTTTTTTTTTTTTTTAAAAAAAAACGCGAAAAAATTAATCAATCTAATTTTTTTTTTTAAAAAAAAAAAAAAGCGAGAAAAAAAAATTCTGTTAAAAAAAAAGCATAAATAAAATGAAAGATCTGAAAAAGAAACGTGATTAAAACAATCACTTAAGACCATAAATATAAAATTTGCCATCCTATTAGGATCCAATAATGAAATTTCTTTCGTTATGAAGTAAAATAAAATTATTTAATATTAGTTGATCGATATAAAAAAAAAAACTATCAAGACTTAACTACAAATTTTATCAAGATAATCAAAATATTTGTCTATAATTGCAAATAATAATTTATCATTAAACGAAATCAATCAACAATGCATTTTCATGAGAATTCTCGGACATCTTTCACTTGTGTATTTAAAGTCTAAAATCTATCTTAAGGTTAAAACAATTTTTTTAATCAGAATAAAGATTATTTTTTTTAAACTAATAATTGTTCTTTTTGCTTAAATAATAATAATAATAATATAATAATAATCTATAAATAATTAATATAATTAAAATTATCTATCATCACTAGGTCTTAATCTCATTCTTTCGTCTCTAACATCATCTTCATCTTGATATCTGCTACCTTGATTTCTTTCGCGAATTCGACTACTACTTGATGATGCATTATTATCATCTTCCGGTTCACTGTCACCAAAATGATCCACCTCATCTGATTGGAACAATGGTGTTTCGATTACCAATTCTTCCCTGTAAAAAATATATATTTGTTATTAATTGAATCTAAAACATTGGTATTAGGGAAAAGATTACGTACATTTCTCCCGACTCATCTACAACGGCAGCCTTCATAGCTTGACTTGTATTTCTACGTTTTCTTAATTTATTACGAATCACAAATGCTCCTAATCCAAGCAATCCGCCTATTACAATTATAAGTGTAAATGTTCCTCTACAAAAAAATTGTTTGTTCAAATAATTTTAGAAAAAGGTGTAGAATAAGAATGAAAAATGGCACAATAACAATACTTACACATTGTAATACTTATCCCAATTTTCTTCATTCGAATCGGGTACCTCATTTTCCTATTTCAAAAAGAAAAAGGTTTTTGAATTAACATTTCAAAATCCTCTTTTCAATAAAATGAACTCACCTCTATTCCAATTGCAGAAGGCCATTTATTAACAAGATGATGATCTAATCCGATAAATCTATACATCATGTCCATACTAGTTAACGGAGCATCATAAGGTACCATATGACTAGCATTATATACTACAACATAGGTTAAATTTCTCTCTGCTAATATATGTCCTACTTGTGTATTATTGACGTAATATGATAACTCTGTAAGGTTCTAAAGTTATAATTTGTGGTTAGAAACAAATTAAAAAATCAAAATCATAATTATAAGTTTCGTTACCTTGAATCCTTTATATCCATTCCATTCTAAATTATCCAACATATCTTGCATTCCATTTATATTACAGATCAAATCCTGATCTCCACTAGTAGTAATAAAAACATTAGTATTTCATAATTAATACACTTGAATAAAGAAATCTATACGTCATACATACTTGTATAATAATACATCGATTTGTTTTAATAAATCCGGAAGTAACTACAAAATCCATTAATGAGAAAAATCAATATATGAAATTTAATGCTACCATTTAAATAATATTTATACGTACTGTGATGGACGGTGGATTTGGATCATTATCAAAATCTCTTCCAACCCCAAGATTACATTCAACCCATCCAATCTGTTGTTGTTCTGCGTGGATAGCACCAATAACATCCGATCTCTACAAATAAAGAGTTGAATAATTTTAGAATAAGACTAGCTTATCACATGAGAGAAGTTAAAATTACCCTTAAATATTCTGTAATGGTAGAAAGTTCATAAGGCCATCTAAACCCACAAGAAGGATACGTATCTGAATGATCTCTAATATCGTATTGATTTATACACGTCTCATTCTCTCCTACTCTACGCAACCAAAAAAAAAAAATTATATAACTGAAAATCATTCAGTATAATAAATACAAATATAGTCTGTGCATAAATTACTTGTTCTTGGAATGCTTTAAGATTGTTTGGAGAATTTGTTCACATATATCTAAATGTATGGCTGGTTTCTTTTTTAGTTCGTTCATACATTTTTCCAATTGGTTTTCAGCTGTATTCTAATATTAGTAGAAAAAAGAGGTAAGTTATCAAAATATACATGCAAAGAAAGAAGCATTTTTGATAACCCTTACTTTATCTTCTCCAACCAATAACCCCTTTTCAACCGTAAAAGTATAATAAGCATTGTACTAAAAAATACGATATATAATATGTTAATATGTTATAATTTAATTACGAATATCAATCTAGTCAAAATCATTGATTCATACCTGGGATACCGGATCGATCCATCCATTGCCGATAGAAATACCTTTTAAATTATACTATAACGGTTCCAATAGAGTGAATAAAAGTTTAATAATAAGACATGATCTTATTTATAATATCGCATACCTTTTTATTCTCGGCAGTCTTCCTTACACCATTTCTTTTCAAAATGGAAGAAGCCATGTATGGTATAAATGTTCCGGCATAGCTTTCTCCGCTCAAATACATCTAAGATTAAATACATGCGAACTTAATTAACTAGTCGCTTCTTATTCGAGTTACATTAAAGAATAACTTACATCATCATCGGTGTATTCCGGAAAAATTTCAAAAAATTTATCAAGAAATAATAAGAATTGTTGCGATACCTAATACAAAATCGTTAAATCGAGTTCAACCTGATTCACATTTTGTAAACCAAATAATATATACCTGTGTAACATTTTTCGAATAGCTATTACTATTGGCAAAACTAAATCCGGTTCCCACAGGAAAATCAACTAATTGATATTAAATATGATTAAAAAATTTTTATATCCGATATTATTGTTATTAATATTATTATAATTTTACCATATAATACATTTGCATATTCATTCCATGATCCTTCGATTAATTCTAAGGTTTGATCTTTCTTTATTCTCCAAGGTCCATTCTCAAGAAATAATCCATCCATGCTATATCAATAAATTACGATTTAATGAAATTCTTTACTTTAAGAACTTTACTTCAAAGAAGTTTCTTACCTTGAACTATTGTTTCGGATTGGTATTTAGATAAAGTAAAAATTAATCAATTTTCTTTCTTAAAAATAAAAAGATCTAAAGACTTACCATCCGGGACCTATCAGAATAGGTACAAAAATATGTTATGAGTCGAATTTTTGGATTTCAACTTTTGAAAATAATCATAAAAATTCTACATACCTCCATTAAGCCAGATGATCTAATTAAGTAAATAAATAAAAAAAAAGATTTAACAAAATATTAATTAGCCATTCCATTCAACATAAGTGAAACTTACAAATTTAGGAGTATCAGAAATATGCTGATTATGAATCAACCAAAAAAACGCATTTGAATTTGTTTTTTGATCAAGTAGAATATGACTAAATAAAAACGAGTAAAAATTATGAGAAAATTTCGTATGAAAAAAAATGTTATAGAACATTAATTAAACAACTTACCCAGCATGAGATTTTATGGTTGCATTTTCTGGTAACCCGGGTAAACTTCTTACAAAATACTCTGAGGCTAATAAGAATAAAATATTCAATAACGCATCGTGTTACGAGACTCAAAGATCGAAATAACTTTCAAGATCAACGAAATAATAGAACTTACCACCAGCTGCTTCAGTTATTTTACTAATGACTGCTACGATTAGCCCTATTCCTAGAGCCAAAGCTTTTAAAATATACTTCATCTTAAACTTATTTACTCAATCTTATTTCCAACAAAATTTTTCTGATTTTCAAAATCATATAATGGTAAGTATAGTTGTACAAATTTTAATTGCTATTTTTAAATTTGGATTAGTTGATCGACTGAACAAAAAACGACCGGGAAACTGTTTTTCATCCAATCTGATAAATAATTAATGAATTTTTATTTCAAAAAAAAATTAAAATTAAAATTAAGAAATTAAAAATAAAAAAAAAAAAAGGAAAAAGGACAAAAAGGACAAATAAGAGAAAAAAAAAAAAGAAAATTTTTATTTATTCGATTTTTTTTTTGTTTTTCTTTTTTTTTTTATAATATCTTAAAATCGAAATGATGGAGAAGCATTCGTTCAGTAGAATAACATTTAGTAGAAATTTTTATGATCGCATTCGAATAAAAAATTGCAGTAGGTATTATGGATTATCGATCACGTGAATTTTTGCCGCAGTACTTGAACACAACATTTTTCTTGGCATCGAATAGTTTCGATGTTTTCGACAAAATTGTCTTGGCAATTCTAAATTAGGAATAGCTTAAAATGTCAATGTTTATGCCAAGAGTTTTTGATTATTTTTTACTTTTCTAATTTTCATAACGAATTTGAAAAAAAATTCCTTTAAAAAAAATCTTATCGCTTTTTTTTTTAAAAAAAAAAAAAGGGAAAAGTTTTTTTGCCTAAATAACTCGTCAAACATCAAATATAATACAAAGTTTAAACTCTTTTAAGAAAATTCCCCGTTCGGTTTATCAAAATTCTATCAAGAATTTTCCTTACATCCAAAAAAAAAAAAATAATGCCATCACAACAATTACAACTTTCTACATCGGTCATTTTATATTATTCAACGATACCATCTTTAATAATTTCAATATGTTTTGTCATATTATTTGCGGCAACATCATTACTTCACTTAAAAAAATTAATAAAATTTAAGCGAAAGATATATGCATACTTGTTTACATTCAGTTTATTAAGAACATGTCTTTTTGCTTTTCGCGCCGCTTGGTCTCAAAAACTTGATTTAGTAATTCTCGGGATAACATCGAACATTTTACTATCAGGAGGATTTTTTGTGATAATCGAAGCTATATATTCGTTATTATCGGATTGGCTCCTTATTTTGTTTGGTACAACGGATGCTTCTTTGTCAACTTGTGAAGATTTATTATTAAAAGTGTTGAAAATCTTATCACCAGCATTTTCGATTTTAGGAATAATGGGGGAAATATTGGAATTTGATGCTCATGTAGCATTAGTACCTTTTTTCCGACAAATTTCATCATTGGGGTTTTTGTGTTTGGTAATCATTTACATAATATTAGTTACTTATTTTGCATTAAATTACGGGGATGGGGCAATCAGAAAACAATTAAAAGCTTTGGTTTTATTCATCTCAGCCGCATTATTATTGATTGAGTTGGTTTATAGAACTTTTGTTTCTTTTGCAAATGAATACCATCCTGTTAATAATTATGAATGGACCTTCTATGTGTTTGAATGTATACCCGAAATTATTTTGCTTATTACTTTAGGTGGGATCATTTTGGGCGAATGGTTTTATTGTGTGGAAGATGATAATGAATTAATGATAGCTCAAAAATTAGCAAAACTACAAGAAAAAGGAAAGCTTATTAATGCTTGCATACTTATTAAAAATAAAGCAAAAAGGGAAAGAGAAGAATCAACAAAAGAATCTACGGAAAAGAAAGGTGATGGGAAAACAAATTCAACAGTCATAAATATGAACAATAGTAAAACTAATGATGTTTCAACACGAACAAGTGCGAATGACGAATCGGTATAACTTGGTGTATACTTGTATGATATTACGATATGTAAAAAAAATCCTTTAAATAAATATATATTTTCCTTGCACTTATTTTGAAGATTTCCTCCGGGGAAAAATGCAAAAAATTTAAATGTAAAATCATTTATAAATATAATGTTCTGAATCAGATGATAAAAGTTACATATATTTATTTCATTTAGGAACAAATTTTTCATTTTGTTCCAGCACACATCTGATTTACATACATTTCATCTATAAAAAAAATCTTTTTAAATTTTTTTTAAGTAATTCTTTATTATTGTTAAATGAAATAACTTTCGACATAAAGATTGGATTTCGATGGAAATACTACCATTAGAATCCGTCTCATTGATAGCTTCCCAACGAATATAAGTACGACCTTATTGGACTAATAGTTGACGAGATGTTTCGAAAAGAAGAATCAAAGATAATTCCGCAGATTACTACCAAACGAAGCTGTAATTCCTTAACTTCGGCCCGATGATCAAACGACCGAAACTATGAAAACGACGAAAACGATGATGTTAGATAATAAGTTAATATAGTTAAAAAGGGGCTCTCTTCCATACCCAAAAATTTAGAAAAAACAAAAATTTCATTTTTCAAAGAAAACTTTTATTTTTATTAAAAACTTTAACTATACAA